TAGACCAACTAGAATTACAAATCATTCGTCGACTTTAATTGAGAATATCTTAATCGCATAAAATCGTAAAACTATTTTATAAATCTCTATAAAAAAGAAATTATAAAAACTGATGTTTCTGATCAAATTATATATTTTCTATTAAAATCAGATTAACAAATCAAAAAACGAGGGTAGAACAACAATAAAAAAACTAGTTGTAAACAATGGTAACTTAAAATCATTTGAAGATCAAATTTTACCGCAGGACTCATACTAATTTTAACATAAACATTATCTATAATACATTTTTTTAAACTTTCTTTGAAAAATCTATGACGCTAATTTTCCAATATGCGAACTAATTCTCAAGGTCAATGACATGTTATCTCCTTGTCACAAAGACATATCGTCAAGATCATTGCACAATCGAATAAGTCATTTTTTGGGGGTTTTGAGTTAAGAGTTGAAATGTATAGCTTATACAGTCTTCTATTATGTGGCAAATCACCTATGTCTTAAACCAATTAGAAAGCAGTTTATTCTTAATTTTTTCAATTCTGCCTAAATCCGCATTTTGACTTAGACGACTTGTTTTCTTCAACATGACGGCATCTGCTTAACGGTAATACACAAAACATTTTTAAAGTAATATATGAAAGCATCTAAGTTATAAGATGCCACAAAATAAACCAAAGTGACGTAGCAAAAGAAATACCGAAGTTATTTAGTTTTTTTTAGTTTTCTCAAAACAAGAAAAAATGACTTAACGATTATGATCGTGACGATATTATCTCCTTGGAAACTAAAAAAGTCTTCAAAACTAAGAGACTAAAAAAGTCTTCAAAACTAAAACAAAAGTTCTATAATAAATACTTAAAAACGAAATCCAAAAAGCATAAATTAAAATTATAAAATTACAAAAATTACAAAAATCTGTTTAAAAAACTCCGCAAAAATGGTAAAAAAAAAATATTATTCTAAATTGCTTACGCAGTACAAACATAACTTGAAACGCATCTGGGAATTAATGAAAGAAATTACTAGAAAACAAAAAGTATCGACCTCTCTGCCACTTGCAATAAAAGAAAATTTCATTAGTATCATTAATTATTTTATTTTGGAAATAAAATAATTAATGATACTAATGAAATTGCAACTTAATTTAACAAATTCTTTTTCACAATAGGAGCAAATTTATTAAACAAAATCCCTTTAATAAATTATAGATTACCAGATAGACTTTAAATATCAAGTTCTTTATATTTTACTAATCTAACGCTTTAGGAATTTGATATAGTTTTTAGATCGTTAAAAAGAAATTAATCAGTGGGACCTGACGATGTAAATGGAAATATTGTGGTAAACTCTAATGACGCCATGAAAGAGATTCTTTACAAAATCTTTAAAGCATCCATTAAACAAAGTTCTTTTCCAGACTCTCTGAAAATAGCAAAAGTTATTCCTATTTTTAAGACACGAGATACGAATAATACAAATTACAGGCCTATTTTTGTTCTTTCGGTTTTTTCAAAAGTGTAAGAAAGAATAATCTATACAAGAGTGTACACATACCTAATTACCAATAAACTTCTTTATAAAAATCAGTTCGGTTTAAAAAAAAAACAACTCAACCGAACATGCTGTTCTTTAATTAACACATTGTTATAACGAATCTTTCAAAAATCTAAAATTTTCACCTGGTGCTTTTGACACGGTCAATCTTAATATTTTGCTTAAAAAACTTGAATGGTATGGTTTAGCAGGTGAAAATCTAAGTTGGTTCAAAATCTCTCCAACCGAAAGCAATTTGTTTTTCACAAAGATTTCCAATCTTAAACATTAATGAACATAACATTTGGTATCCCATTAGGATCCGTACTTGTACCACTTCTTTTTATTATATATATATATATATATATATATATATATATATATATATATATATATATATATATATATATATATATATATATATATATATATATATATACATATATATATATATATATATATATATATATATTTATATATATATATATATATATATATATATATATATATATATATATATATATATATTTATATATACATATATATATATATATATTTCTGTCGAGTTAGTTTTTTTTTAATAGACGCTTTATCTTTTTTATAAAGACCATGAACTGACTTTTTATGTATATTAAGATTTTCCCTTTCATCTGAAATATATCTTAGACTATTTTGCTTTAAAATAACAAATAATTAGCAAATGTCAATAACGGAGAAGACATTGTCATATAAAATAAATTTTTTATGTCAATAAATTTGGGTAATATACTTAACATGTATACTATAGTTATAGTACCAAATATATTTTATTGCAAAAATAGAATCTGTTACAAAAATAATAATAATTCACGGATATAGTTACATTGATGTTACGGTAACGGAGTGGAAAAAATAAATGGGACTCATTACTCGACGATATCCAAAAACATAAAAAAAAAGTAGATAAGTGCAATACCAAATCTTTTTTCTACATCCCTAATGATTAAACTTAAAATATTTGTTAAAGTTTTATAGATAGCGCAAACTTTATTTTCATGCAACATTAGTTGAGAAAAAACCGTTTAATGAGAAATTGATTCAAACATGATTATAAACAATAAAAAAGTAGGCCAAAATATATTTTTAACTTTTACTACTAATAATAACTCAATACATTATCTAATGAAAGAATAAGGTTTTACAGTTTTTTTAAAAAAAATGCAAGAAGTAATAGGCACTTCAAAATTAGAATTTGGCAAAACAATTTTATTCCAAAGGTGAGTCGCTCAATAGGTAATACAAAATTAATTAAAGTTTGTTTGACAAAAAGATTCATTTAAAAAGTTACTAATTCTCAAAGTATATTTAATGATTGGTTTAAAAGAGAAACAATCTTTGAAGACGGCTTGAAGGATAATTTGTTTATCCACATATATGCAAAACATAAAATATTAAATACATTTAACTCGGATATATTCAGAATTCTCATTTCAATAAAATAATGCTTCGAATAAGAGAAGCGATTTGCAAAATTGATTGTACGTATTGTGCGTCTCTGACGGAGATATAGATGCTACAACTTGCTTTTTTTCTGTACTTCCTCAAGCAATATTGGCATAATTTAAATAACTATTCATAAATGAACAATAAAGTAAGATTAATCCTTTCTTATTGAGATAGATTCGTGATTTGTATAGGATCCCCATGTTTTTAGAAGTTTTTTTGCTTATATAACCAATATGGTGATTTCAAGTAATATTTTCATTAAGATAAACCTAAAAGTCATTTATATAAATTAAAAAAAAGGAGAGTTCCGAGAATTGAACCTCGTGGGACACCGCAGGTTATATTAAGAAAACTGGGTTGATAATCATTGTTAAATATTAAAAATTGTTTCGGTTAAAGAGATAACTTTTAAACCATTTTAGAATTTTATTTTTAATTCCATAGTATTTGAGTTTATAAATCAAAATATGGTGATCGACCGTATCAAAAGCTTTTGATAGGTCAATAAAAATTCCTAGTGTATATTGTGATTTTTCGAATGATTTTGAGATTTCGCGCTTTGTGTCGTTTTTAAATGTATTTAATAATTGGGAGTAATAATTTTTCTTCAGGTTTTTGCTAATTTTTTCAAATAGATTTTAGCAGTTCTTATAAATTTTTTCGCTTGAAGTTGTTTATGTTTAGAAAAAATTTATATATAACTTTTGTTTTATTCTGGATGATTTTTTAAAATCTTTAGTAATCCATGGTGTATTGATATTTTTAGTTGTTATTGTTTTTTCAATGATTGGGAAATTAAATTCATAAACAGAAAAAAATATTTTGAAAAAAGTTTCATAAATATTATTTGCGTTATCGTCAAAACTCATGTTTTTCCAATGCATTAATGATAGTTGGTCTTTAAATTATTTAATATCTGTCTCATTATAAATGCGTTTTCTTGCTACTTTTTTGATATTATTGTTTCTTTCTCGGTTTGTTTTATTAAGTTTCAGGAATAGAGGAAAATGATCTAATATATCAGTTTTTATGATATCTATTTGTATATTATTATCAGTAGTTATCATATTATTTATAAGAGCTGCTGTGTTTGTTACTCTAGTGGATCGATTTGTTAAAGTAACAGTAACGGAGAAAACACTTCATATTTAAGTATATAGTTACAGTTCCTATTTAAATATATAGACTATATAGTTTTCTTTTTTATCATTGGTTCCTTTTTTAATGATTTGTTGTCAGAACATGCTCAGGTTTTTGCTCACGCCGTCAGGCGGCCGATAATAACAGCTTAGTAAAATGTTTTTAGTTTGATTATTTGTAATTTTAGGCCTTCATTGTATAAATAATAAGTGACATTTAGAAAAGCAATATTTTTTTTGTAATATAGGTCATAACTTTAAAGATCAGTTTTAAAAGTCACGATCATGGCTCGCCGCACTTCGACGGAAAAGCCACGATCGTGGCTTACCGCAGTCAAAGGGGTAATATACAAATATGCAGTTTTTAATTTCAATTTGAGTTTCTTGATCTAAAAAATATTAATATTGTACATTATGAGTATGAAGTTGTTATTTTATATAGCTTAATATAGCTGGGGAACTTCACTTATGTTATATAGCTAAAGAATTTCACCCTATCTATAATATCTGATGATCTTGACTTATTGCTTCAAACAAAAATAAGGTTTTTTTGTACGCTACACAGGAAATAATACAGATATTAGTTTTTCATTTTTAGCAGTATATTAGAAAGACCAAAGGCTATATTGCGTAACCAGATCCTTTTTGTAAGGAAAAGGATGTGGTTACGTTTTACAGTTGTGATAATTGTTTGATTAAAAATGAAATAAAAACTGCGTTCATTAACTTGACTAGACATATGCTGTTAATCATGAACCAAATATAATTTTGAATTTTTTAAAATTTTCATTTTGCCTATTTGCAGTTAATAAACTCATTCTTAATACCATCAACCTAATCATATCAAGAGACAAAAAATTTATTTCTTTGACATGAGAGCTACAATGCAATGAGTGCGTTTTTAAAAAAAGTGTATATTTTTAATACTGATTATCTTCTCCAGCCTTATCATCGGGTGCGTCTGCACCAACTTCAGCATAATCACGCTCCAATCCAGCCATATCTTCTCTGGCCTCACTAAATTCTCCTTCTTCCATTCCTTCTCCAACGTACCTATATATTAATTGTCGTTAAAGATTTGTTGTTTTATTAAAAAACTTTCAATAAAACACACTTAAAATACTTACCAATGTACAAATGCTCTCTTTCTGTACATTAAATCAAACTTTCTGTCTAAGTTTTTCCATAATTCGGCCATTGCTGTCGTATTACTTAACATACATAAAGCACGTTTTACACCGGCAATTTCGCTATCTAAAAAAAGATATCAAAATAAACTATTTCATTGACACAATCATGGTCGTGAATTTAAGTTATAGTAGCATACCTTTAGGAATGACAAGCGTTTGGCTGTTTATTCCAACTTTGAAGCCAGTGGGACACCAGTCTACAAAATGTATGTTCTGCATTTGTTTAATTTTTGAAATTGCATCATTAACATTTCGCGGTCTAACATCTCCACGATAAAGCATACAACACGACATGTATTTTCCTCCACTTGGATTGCACTTAACCATTTTATTACCAGGCTCAAAAACGCTTTTCGTGATTTCATGAGTATCCATGCTTTGATGGTTTGCTTTCTCACGAGATATGATTGGAGCAAAACTAGCCAATGGAAAATGAATTCGCGGGTAGGGAACTAAGTTTGTTTGAAATTCATTCAGATCAACATTAAGTTCACCTAATTATAAAATTAAAAAAATTTACAAACGAAAAAAAAGATATATAATTTTTATTTATTAATTAAAAGCTTCTTTTTCAACTTACGAGTTGGCACCCTTCTAAGACTGCAAAAATCAAAAGGTTTTACCAAGCCGTTTGTAAATGTGTAAAAATTATGCATCTATGCAAATTGATACCTATTTATGCGTTTAAACAGGTATCAATTTGCATATATGCAAAATTTATACATATTTACAACAGGCTTCATAAATCTTTTAATTTTCGCCATTACTTAGTCTATAAATAAATTTATAATAACAATTTTAAAATATAATTGTTTCAAATAGAAAAAACTCAAGCGGATATTATGAGATACCCTCAAATCTTAAAGATGCAGTTATTGAAGATACCACTTGACTGATTAGTCGGTTAAGATTTACGTATGTTGGGCGCTCAATATCTAAATTTTTTCTACATATATCATAAATTGCTTCATTATCAAACAAAAAAGCGACGTCTGAATGATCAAAAGTAAAATGCGTAGTCAACACAGAGTTATATGGCTCAACCACGGCAGTAGATACTTGCGGTGCGGGATAAATGGAAAACTGCAACTTGCTTTTTTTCCCAAATTGCACAGAAAGAGCTTCCATAAGCCTAGCAGTAAACCCTGAACCAGTTCCACCGCCATAAGAATGATATACCAGAAAACCTTGCAAACCATCGCATGCCTCGGTCTATATTTAAAAAAGTTAATATTAGAAGTGATTATAAAAAAGAACAAAACTAATCTTTAAATAAATTAATGCAAAAAATATTTAAACTACACATACTTGTTTTACGACGTAGCTTAAAACTTTGTCTAAAAGTTTTTTACCAACTGTATAATGTCCTCTTGCAAAGTTATTTGCCGCATCTTCACTACCAGATATAAGTTGGTCCGGATGAAATAAATCTTTGAAAGATTTTGTTCTAATCTCGTCAATTACACAAGGCTCTAAATCGGCAAAAACTGCACGAGGAACTTTTCTTCCACTTTCCATTTCTGTAAAAAAAGAAGAAGACGAATCTCCAGGTTCAGGTTTATGTTCAACGTCTGGAGTACCATCAGGATTAATACCATGCTCAAGGCAATATAACTCCCAACAAGCGTTGCCAATCTGACAACCAGCTTGACCAAGATGTATAGAAATACATTCACGCTAAATACAAAAAAAAAAAATAGTTTTTTTTTTAATGAATTTTATTCAACAAATAATAATTTAGTCCTCAAAAACATTTTGCAATCGAACAACTGTTTTTCAAAATATTAAAAATGCGTAAAGTATGAGTAAAGTAGTCATACATCAAAATAGTCGCAATCACCTCATTGAGCATGCATAAAATAAATTTATTATTTGATAAAATTGAGGAACGTATCATGAAACTAAAAAGTGCAAGTAGTTGCTTGCGCCCAAGCAACTGCTTGCACTTTTTAGTAAAAAACTTCTAGGATAAACCAAAATAGTTCGATTACTAAGCTATTGGAAAAAAGAGCCAAAAAATAGTTGAGACTCAAAATTTTAATTATTAATGCAACTTTTAATTATTTGTGGGAACTGCTTTTTGAATGCATTATTTAATTATTTATCCTCATTGTAATGGAGTTAAATAGACGCGTTTGCGGTACGTTAAATACACAATAAACTGAATATAAAATTGCGTTCTTATTTAGTGCAATATATAATTTAATATAATTTTATTTTAGCTAAGTCTAGCTTTAAGAATAATTTTAATAAATATTACTCATAATTTTATAATTAAAAAACGAACAACCTTGAACTCAAAGATAAAACTATTGCAAAAAAAATAAAAAATAGAAATAATAAATTTGTATTTAAATACTTACGTGGCTAATTTCTAATACAGATTTTGGTATACAATCTACCTTCTTAAGTTTTTATTTGTTCTTAAACTTTTGCGACATTTTAATATTCGTAGCTTATTTAACTTACATACTGAACATGAATAATACACTATGTATAACATTTACATTGACAAAACTTGCCGAAAACATTTTTGTAATTGTAAAAAACTTTTTTTTTATAATTAACTAAATTGTTTATCAGCATAATTACTTTTAAAATATACTAAATAAAAAAATATGATTACGTATTAAATAATAAATTCCATCAACCTACATGCAACACACACTGTATTAAACTTCAAATCATTTGAATACTTATATTGAAGTAATTATTTTCAGCTACGCTGCCTTTCCAAAAAATTTATTTAAAATTAAATCTTGGATTACTACTTGTGCTCTGTACTGAATGGAGTATTTCATCCAGAAATACATACTTTGTTCGACATTAAGTTTCTCTCGCACTACTGGCATCTTATTGCAACTTAAAAATACTTCAATATATAAAAAAACTTCACTAACTAATAAAAATAACTTTTTCTCTTCACAATGGCTAACAAAAAATAAGTATAAAATAAAGTTTAAACTATCCACACTGCAACAGGCTATCAGTTTATAATAAAAATATATAAATTATATATAAAACATATAACTTTTCAAACTGTAAATAAACTGTCTATTTACAATTTGAAAAATAATATATATAAACAATTGGTTATATAAGATGACTTATACTTACAGATTACCACAATTGATATTTATAAAATTTTCGTTTTATTTATAAATTTTACGAAACTTACCATTTTAACAGAGACTCAGACGAAGCTCTCTTAACAATAAAATAATTTTATAAAGTAGTTTCGTCTCTTATATGACGCTTTTGAATGAATCAAAGTATATTAACTGAATGAGTTGAATCAAACTCATGCATGATGAATAAAAAATGTAACGCAACACAAGCATCATGGTCAGTTCATTATTTAACAAACAATCAAGATTCTACATGTTTTTAATATTTTATTTATATTTACAAAATTTATTCCAAATAAAAATATTCAGAAGTTACAGTATTTCAAAAAAACTTCACCAACCCCCCTCTCCTAATGCGAAGTTTATTTATATTGATTTCTGTAAAATCATGTCATGAAGCAAGCTTGCATATCTTTTTATGATTCGATAATGAATTTTACATACATTAAAAACCATGACCATATAACTCCGATTGAGCAATACAAAGATGTCAGCATTAGCGGTAAAAAGGGAAGTTTACCATTCCGATCAATCATATTGTGTCCAATATTACAATAAATAAATAAAGGTATATAGCCGTATAAGTAAAATGCTTCGTATCTTTTAATGAACGGAATGCCTAATCCAGGAAAAGTGCTTTTCTGGCTGAAAAAATATATATAATTGAGAATATAAAAAGTAAGAATAAAAATCAAAAAATCACTTGAACTTATTATAAATTATAAAAAAGAACATGGCAAAAATAAATTTACCCATAAAAATCACTAATACTTATCATAAATTATAAAAAAAAAAAGAATTGACAAAAAAATACATACCCATAAAAATAATAAAGACAATAAGTTGATAAAAATGTATAAAACAAAAACAAAGACAACTTCAGCGGAGTCTCTAATATAAAACAATATAAAAAATCATTAAACAAGTGACAAGTGACAGTAAAAAACTTTGATTTTTGATATTAAAGCAATGTCGATAAAAACATCTTTACCTGCCTCCTTGTAAAGAAGGGGGAAAAGAGAAAAATTTGCAGTAATAGATAAAATCGTAAATATTCGAGCATATTCCTCTGACTTGGTTGAAAGTAACCTTATAAAAAACAATAAATAAGTTTCAAATAAAAGGTCTAAATTCCTGGCAGTTCGTGATAATGCCCTAATTACTTTTAATTTACAAGTACTTAGAGGTAAATACCTAAATTCTCGTCTGTAATGTCTCAGTTTTAAGAAAGTGAAAATAATAATATAAAAAAAAAAAGAGAAAAATGAAAATTAAATTTTAAAAATAATTTCTCATTTTTGAATAAATTAGGTTTTTTTTATCAACATTTTGATTTTGACTTGACTTCTCTGAAAGACACAAAAAGTATTTTCGTAAATTAACGTTTTTTTCAAATTACAACTCTATATATATAGAATTAGTTAGCTCTTTAAAAAAGGAGTTTATCTTTAGTTTGCAATGAACTAATGCTGATATTAAGATGATTTTTACATCAACGATATATTTTATTTTAAAAATTTATCGTTTATTAAATTTATAATAAAAAATTAAATTATTTTTTTGATTGGTTTTTTAAAACCTCAAATTTTTTCAAGAAAAGAAAGGCTGTCAAAATAAGAACTAAAACAAAAGAAGAAGTACTTTAACTTCTTCGAAACAAGCTTAGACATTCCGACATGGCCCTGACGAGATGAAGGTTTGTCACATGCCACAACTTTCGACCATTATGATGACCTCAACCCCGAACTTCACTCACGCAGCACCTTCCCCTCAACTTGTTTTACTTTTATATTACAATAATTTGTACTACTAATTTACTACTAATTTATTACCTCCAATTTACGATGGTAATCACTATAGCTTTATAGCATACATACTATGCATATCGGATATATTATACACGATATATACAGTCATGTGCATGAAAATAGCAGTGGGAGAAAATTATTTATAAAATACATTTAATTTTTTTACTGATGGTTAATTTTGTATATTTTCTTCTCTGAATATTTTCTGTTAGGGTTTTTAAATATAAAGAGGTTGGCAATATTGCTGTTTATACATACATGTATCAGAATTTAAATTAAATTATAAAATTTTGCTTTATTAACTGTGCGTTATAATAGCAGTGAATATACACTTTATTTTCTAATAGTGCCTTAAAAGTTGTTTTTACCATCAATTTTTTTTATACATTAAGGTAAGTGTTTGTTCATTAAAATTAAACAATATTTTATTAAGTTTCACAATTTTATTACAGTTAAAATGGGTAGAGCAAAACATTGTTCCAATGAGAAGCGTCAAATAATTTTAAATATGTTAAAAGATGGTAAAACTTACAAATTCATCCAAGATGCTTTACAATGTTCTGCAAAAATGATTTCCATGCCAAAAAATGGACACAAAAAGCGGAATTGCGTGGGGGAAAATTTAAAACGTCATTGAAAACGAACCGTAAAATTATTAGATGTGCGAAGATAAATCCTTTTATGAGTTCCACAGCCATAAAAACGGAATTAAATTTACCAATATCGTCCTCAACAGTGAGAAGACGTTTGATAAAAGCCAATTTAAAAGCCAGAAAGCCCAAAAAAACTCCACTTCTAAATAAGAGACAGATTAAAAATCGAATCGCATTTGCTAAAGAGCATCAAGAATGGCCATCATCGAAATGGCGTAATATTCTTTGGAGTGATGAGACTAAAATTGTTTTATTTAATCCAGGTATTCACGAAAAGTTTGTACGAAGACCCCCACGAGCAGAATATAATATAAAGTATACCACCAAGACAATAAAACATGGTGGCTGCCAGGTGATGGCATGGGGTTGTTTTTCTTGGTTTGGATTGGGCCCTATTTTTTGGATCAAAGACATCATGGATGCAACTGCTTATGTTAAAATACTGCAAGAAGTCATGTTACCATATGCAAAAGAAGAAATGCCTTTGAAGTGGATCTTTATGCAGGATAATGATTCTAAACACACCTCTCGTAAAGCTAAAAATTGGTTTGTAGAGAATAAGGTTGAGGTAATGAACTGGCCAGCACAATCCCCAGACCTGAACCCGATAAAAAACCTGTGGGGGGGATGTTAAAAGAGCAGTATCTTTGTCTAGACCAGCCAATAAAGAGGAACTCTGGAGAGCAGTTGAAGCAGCTTGGAGAGCTATTCCCTTAGAAAGATGTCGTCATCTAATCGAGTCAATGCCACGAAGATGTAAAGCAGTATTGAAAAATAAGGGTCATGGAACTAAGTATTAGATGTATTTTCAAAAGATGAATAAATAGTTTTTCATCAATGTTATATTTTATTTACTTTTTTAATGGTAAATCTGCATTCATTAAATGTGATAAAAGTACCTTTTTAAAAAAAATGGTAGTATGATATTGTCCATTTAAGTTTAAAAGCTTTTTTTAGACTAAATAGTGTCAGATAACACTTAATTATGAAAAATTAACAATTACGGTCCGAAATTATGCATATCATTAAATTTAATAAGGTTTTTTTATAATTTTTTGTGCCACTGCTATTTTCATGCACATGACTGTATAATATTCTAGATATACATAAGTCTCTCTATAAATAATATAAGAAACTTATTGTTTTACCTAACAAGCATCATACTGCCCCGAACCAACACCACTGAGCCAAACTGTGTTGCTATAATTGTACTGCACTCCGCACATAGTTCTTACAAAAATAGCAACAAACTCCACACTCTCATATATTCTATGAACATATGTTAAAACATATCTCATAAAATACTTTTAACAAAGATTACGATCACAAAGAACATAATAACATCAAAATTAAATAAGACGGAAAATCAAAATATTTACGAAAATACAGATTCATACAAAGAAAGACATTAATTCACATATAAAACTTGAACATTTAGAACACTACAAACACAAAGCACAATAGTTAACACAAACTTACAGAACACTGAAACAACACTTACTTAAACCTAACTTAAAGAACACTTACTTAACTCTAACTTAACTAGTGAATAATACTCCCCTCTTTAACACCACCTCTTAATACTGGACATCTGTCCAAATATTATAATTTATCTAGCACTCCCTTGCACTTATATAATATATTTCTTTCTTCTCTTAAGACTCTTACGGCCTGATGGTTCCATATCAGTGGTGGAACTTTAATAGCTTCCACTGAGAAACAATAGCAGTCTCATTTGAGCACCCAAACAAGTTGAGGAAACAAAGTGGAAGTTTTCTTGTATGTTTCAAAACGGATATTCATTCATTTATCACTTGCTGTAAGCTGACATCTTTTTTTTTACATATTTTATTTTTTTTACATATTTATATTTTAATAATAAAGTTTTTTTTATTATTAAAATATAAATATTTAGTATTGAAACTCCACATTACGCAGAAATTTTAAAATCTAAGTTTACCAACCACACATCATTTAACCTTTATTCTTAAAAGCTATCAATTGATTAATATACTAAAAACTTAGTTTATCAACCAATAAAAATAATAACAACATTTCAACAAAAAATTGTAATATTTTAACTAAACTTTAAAAGAAAAAGATTGAAAAAGGTGAAAATTTCAATTTTTTTTTTTAATAAGTTAAAACAATGCGAATAAATGAAATAATTTTATCAAAAACAACTCAAATTGCAAAAAATAAATTTAAGGTTAAACAAACCTTAACTCAATCCAAGTATTAAAAAAAAAATTATGTGTAATATCAATAAAAAATTTAACAAAAAATGATAAATTGACAGTCTGCAAATAATGGACAATTTTTAGTAAATGTCATAAATTTATGATTAGAAACACTGTTTGCTAAATTTTTATTAAGGTCAACTTTTAATGTCTAAATTAGTAAACTATAACTAACAGGTTTTTGTATTCTTATACTTCAAAAATTAGAAAAGACATATTACAGATAAATTACTTACGTCATTGGTATTGTAACCATAAGAATAGCTTTTTCATGTACATGATAGCCAAATATAAATGATGCATATGCACAAAGTATTAAACATGGAAGAAATAAATTCTTTTCATTTGGTCTAAACCAAATCTTTATCAAGCAGGGCTAAAAGTGAATTAACACATTATATTACAAAATTAAACACAAATATACAGCATACTAAAAACTTTAAAAAACTTAAAATCCTACCAAGATTGCAATTACAGTGAAGATAAAAGTTACAACTAAAGGTATGTCTGGAAGCATGGAAAAACTTTGCTGCGTTACTAAACCACCAGTCAATGAAGCAGGCCTAGAACCAACATTTAAACCTAGGTAAGAACCTGCAGAAATAAAAGTTATAAAAATAATCACATGCAAAACTGAGTAAATATATTTATTATTATTATAAGTATTAAACCAGAAAAATAAAACCTATTATTGATGCTATTTTGTCAAGACCACTATAAAGCGACCAAAAATTACATGCCCAGTAGGCATGTAATAAACCTCGCTTTACAGGGAAAAGGCGAGATAGTACTTGAGTTATCTGACCCTAAATCATCATATATTAAAAAAAAATTTATATTTGAAAAAAAATAAAAAGTAAAAAAGTAAAAATAGTGTAACAAAAAGTACCATGTAAATAAAGGGTCCAAATGATATTCCAAATATAGCTAATACAACAAGACCCAACTGTATCAAATGTTTTATTGAAAAATCTTTAAGCGACACACCAATTAGTGAACAAATATCTATGAAAAAGCAAATTCAAAAAAATTTTCAAGATTTAAACATGAAAAAAATATATAAATTTAAATATAAATAAAATATATAAAACATACAACTTTGTGACTTTAATCTGTTATTTTGGATAAAGCAAAAATTTCTTAGTAAGTAAACAAAATACACTGGAGCAACATAAACATATATATGCTTTAAGTTTAGCAAAATAGTAAACCAAAACGCACTATGAAGAAACCGTCCCTGCAAATTAAATAATTACATTAGCAAATTTATAATCTTTAATTTCTTAGAATGATTCTTTAGAATCATTCTAAGAAATTCTTAGAATGATTCTTTAATTTCTTAGAATGATTTTTTGTTTAACTTTTTATTAAATTACAGATAATAAATGTCACATTAAATTACTATAAAATTCTATATAAATTGATATAAATTCTATATAAATATCAATCTATTTAATTACATTACATTAGTTAATGCTGACCTGTTTCATTTCTAAAATTGAAAGTATTAGAAAACCAAACAAGAAGCCATTATATTGAAAATGAATATCTATGAAGAGTTAAGTAACTTTTGTTTGAAATAATTTATAAATAATAAATTGAATAAACATTCAAGATAATTTTTTAAATTAGATTTGCTATGCTCTATACATTGTTTGTTACCATAACAACTTTACTTGGTACCTGTAACAAGTTTTTTTATACTTTTTTTTTCTATTTTCTATTTTTAATTTCATATTTTTTAATCTATTTTTATTTATATATATTCAAGTTGAATATTTTGACATACTCTCGAGTTCCTAATAAACGTCCCCCCCCCCCTTTATTAATTTTTATTTATTATCAACAAAAAAATTCTATATCTCAAAAGTAAAAAAAAAAATTCAGTAAAAATCAGCCTTAAAAATTTAAAAATAATTTTCAGTCACCGATAAAAAACAAAAACTTTCAGTGTAAACAGATTTTACAAATCGTCAACCTATTAAATCTCGATTTGCTAAAAATGAACTTTTAGTTTATTTCTCAACAAAGCTTTGGTTTTAATTATAGGATTTAATATGCTGTATATAAGTTTTATACTTATCAAAGTATAAAACTTATATCAGCATATTAAACCCTATTGAAATTATGATAAAACAACCTAACCCTACAGCTGATACAAAATGCGCTTTTGACCGCAAGTCAAATACACATTTGACTTAAACATGCGTAATTTGCATGCCGAATAAACGGGGGGGGGGGGGTGTAAAAGTAAAGAGTAGGTAAGTAAAAAATAATTTTTATATTTATTTTAATTACTTTAGTAAATATTGCAAATTGTAAATTTAAAAATTTACAATTTGCAATTTTCTGTACTTTTTGTGTTTTTTGTATTCAGTTTTAATAACTAAGTTTTAAAACTTAGTTTTTGAAACTGAATAAAAAAATAAAATAGAAAATAAAAAATTAATATACATATATTTTTTAATTTGTTATTTTAGGTGCCCCAAGAAATCCTAACGGTCTTGTCACAGAGCACTGCGAAAGTGCATTTAACCAGGAAGTTCACGCCTCCTTCCTTACCGTGATGCGAAATATGTCCAAAGCTCGTTTTGAACCTGGATCTCCTGCTTATAAAGCAAGCGCTCTAACCACTGCGCCACGGCCGCACAATTATCATTATTATTATCATTATTTTTGTTATTAAAGGAGTTTGAGTTTTAATCAGACAGAGCTCAATAGTCTCATCAAAACTGGTATTTTTTTAATATGCTAATTATACTAGAAGGTAAATTCAAAAATAAAAATTTTTAAAAATTTTCAGAATATTGACTATTGATTGGAATTTTAGAATATTGACTGGAGTTTTAGAATATTGTTCGGAGTTTTAGGATATTGACTATTAATTTAGTGTCGAATAGTACAATTTTCTTAACCTCATAAGAGCTAAAGTCCCAGGTTTATGGTAAAAAGTTTTTTTCGAAAATATATATTGACCTGTCAACTATCATATTTATGAAAAAAACCAATTCAGTATTGCAAAAGTAAGAAAAAATTAAAATTTACTTAACATAGTTAATTTTATTATAATAATTAATTATAATAATAATTAGATATTTTTTTCTTCGATCAAGACCCGCCTTTTTAAGAATGAGACAAAGCTCAAAAGTGACCATCTTCAAAATTAATATTTTATTTAATGTTGTTGCTATTTGTACTTAAAAGTCAATACTAAAATATTTTTTGAAAAAGTATCTATTTGTTTTTAGATGTTGCACTTCAAAGTTTGAAAAACATTTTAGTAATATTGACCAAATGATGTCAAAGACATTTTCAATCTTGAAATGAAAAAAGTACATTCTTACCCATGGTTATTACCATATTTATTTCCATTTTATTATTATTATTATATATTAGCTAGTTTAGATCTAAAAAAGATAAAATATATATAATAGGCAGATAACTTGTCTAAATATCATGCTTTAAAAGTATGCAAAAAACTGATTTTTTGTTATTTCAATCTTTATTTTCAAATCAAGCCTTTTAAGTAACATGAAAATGGTTGAAGCCCTAGGTTTTAAAAAATTATATAAGAAAAACCTGAGCATGATTCTTTTAACTATCACATTAAAAATAATATTTGTGGAATTTATTCAATTATTTGGAATTTGCAACTAAAGGGCTATTCATAAATTAAATCATGCTTTTAGTAATGGCTTTTGACCCCCTCTTTTTTATATGCTACAAAATTCCAAGAATAAATTTTAGCTTTAAGATTTTGAACTAAATGGCACAATATAGATTTTAATTTTCCAATTGAATATCTAAATTGTATTGAAAACCTAAAAAGGTGTAAAGCATGCAATTCTTTTTTTTATGTTGTTTTCAACATAATTTAGAAAATTTTGAAGTTTAAAAATGCTTTTGATCAATATTTCTGTAAATTTAACTTAACTTTGAAACCTATTATCTAGAGAACCAAATAAAATTCTTGCACAAACCCATTCTTACACAAACCCATTCTTACACAAAGTCATTCTTTACAAATTTTATTTGATCTAAATTTGCCTAAGCAAGCTAATTTTATGTAAATAAAGACAAACTTCTTTAAGGTGATCAAAAATATTTTTTAAAAATTTAAAAAAATATTTTTCATCACCTAAAAGCTTTAACAACATCAGAATAAAGTTCTAAGATGTCACAAAAAATTTGAGTAAAATTTTCAACCCACCTGTTAACATCTATAAAATCTTACACTCCTTTCGTTATTAAATTTTCAACCCTCTTCAATATGTATTAATAAAATATGTAGATTATGATGTTTTATTATTCACATTTTATTATTTGTATTCAGCTGTTTTTATAATTATAAAAACTTTTTTAATTTAAATTTATGTATATTTATTGTTATAAATCAAAATAAAATAACAATAAAAAATTAAAGCATATAAAAATATAATATCAAAACTTATGTTTAATTGTCTTCATTATTTCTAAGCATATATGGATCATTAAATAGATATAGGCCAAAAAATATATATCCTTATATATCAAAAGAAAACTTAGTCGCAATTCTTATTCTAAAATTGTAAAAAGTGACCAATGACCAACCCTAAATTAATTGAAATAATTTATTGATATTTTGATAAAAATAAACTTAAAATAAATTACCAACCCTAATTTACTTTAAATAATTTACTGATATTTTAATATAAATAAACAAATAATAAAAAGATACGATCAACCATAAAAAGTCCCGCATTCATTAGAACGCCCAATATAACAAACAATGATTCCTCTTTAGTTTTATTCACTGATTCTATTCTTGTCAGGCATAATATACAATATCTATAAGAAAAAACATATTAGACTTAAAAAATATGGAAACATCATTCAACATTTTTATTTATAGCAAATTTTATGTGCAGTGAAAAAAAACTTATTATAAAAAATAATTATTAGAAATATGTTAATTATTAGAAATATGTTCATAAACATGAAACAGTTACAGATAAAAAAATAAAAAAAATAAAAAAACCGGATGATTGTAAACAAACACCTAATTATTAAATATGGAATATCAAATGTTAACAAGAAATGACACTTTATGGTCTCTTACTATTTCAAACAAAAAAGATATTCATATTTAAGTTTATGAAAAAAACTACACAAATAATAACATTGAAAAAATAAATTATGAAAAATTATGCTTCAATTAATGACATTAATGTGAGCAATTAATGACATTAGTGTTAGCAATTTATGACAATAGCGTTGCAATTAATGACATAAATGTTTGACATTAATGATATTGCATATATACCTTTTAAGTGCATAAAATAGAAAGAGATCACACACAACAACTGAAAATCTTTGAAAAAACACTGCTTTCTTGCTGACATAATTGAGATTTTCTATAACCAACATTTTAGGATCAAAGTATACAGCCAAAAAAGATAGAACATATTCAAACCAAGCAAAAAATGGTGGGTAATCTAAAGTCCATTCAGATGTTTTCTAAAATGCAAAATTTAAATTTGAATTTATGTGCACATATATTGTGTCCTCAAAAAAAAAAAATAATAATAAAAAAAAAAAGCTTTTTTTTTGTAAAATGAATATAATTTCCAATAAACTACAATTATAGGAAAAATGGTCTTGCTATCTCATAAGGAAGATTTTGTGACATCCAAGGAGCTACACCATCATTAATTCAGAATTGCTTCTGATTAATTTTTTTTAATACTAATTTTATTAGCTGCAGCCACTTGAAATGTTGAGGAAATTTTGTTGTCGAAATTTTGTTGTTTTCATTATTCACTTTTTTTTAAATTCTTAGCCTTTTAATTCAGATTTTACTAATCTTATTTATTTCATTTAGACATTTGATAAGCACAGTGATTACTGATAACTTGCAACTTGTAGTTCTTTAGGCAAAAATTAGGCTGCTAGTTACAAATTTCATAAACTGAAAAGAAATTTCAATATCATGAGAAATACAATATAAATTTGAAGTTGCTGCTGCAAAGTTTAGAGTAATTGCAAGATACCTGGTACCTGAATCTGCCAACAGTGGTGATAGTGTTAGTAACTTCTAAATGTTACAAAGAAATGAGACAGATTGCAAAGATTTTTATCAGAATCAAAAGAATTTAGGTCTGGTAAATTGTCAAGATTTTTAAATTTTAATGAAATAACATTCATTCAACTTCTGTAAAGCATCTTATTAAAATTCTATGTGACATCTTCTGCAAGTTATAGACTAAAATTCAATGTGTTCTATTGAAAAGTTGGTAAACTATATTTGTAGGTTTTAGATGTTACAAAAAATCCCAAATTTACAACCTGGATGAAACTGGGGTTACCACAATGTAACCTGTTTCTAAAGTCATAGCATGGTAAGGACAGCACCAAGTTAGTCAAGTGACACACCAAGAAAGAGGAGAATTGGTAACACATACAGGAATCATAAGTAGAGCTGGTCATGCTTTACCACCTGTTTGGACTTTATGCTATTCAGTAGTGACGGAATCAGGTAGCTGTGAGCAGTAAAAATATATATATATTTTTGTTATTTTGGTGCCCCAAAAAGACCTAATGGTCTTGTCACAGAGCACTGCGGAAGTGCATTTAACCAGGAAGTTCATGCCTTCCTTACCGAGACGCAAAAATATGTCTAGAGCTTGTTTCTAACCTGGATCTCCTGCTTATAAAGCAATAGCTCTAACCACTGCGCTATGGCTGTGATTTCACGTTTGTTAACAATTCATGTGATAACAAATAATGAAATTAAAATTTCTTTAATAATTTTTTTTTAATGCAATTATTATAAACTATTTTTATGTACTCTCAATATATACAGTGAAAAGACTAGTTTAAAAAAACAAAATTACCTCATAGTACCATTCAGATATTTGAAGATTTGATGTAATTGCAAGCCAATTTCTATGAACTTCAAAGTCAGTTGAATGGCTGTAAAAAAATATATATTGAAGTTGACAATGAGTATACTTTTATTGCATTAATGTGTTTTCAAATTATTTTAAGTTTTGTTATTATATTAAATGACATAGGACCTAGAGGTGCAAAATAGATCAAAAATATATAATATCTATTACATATTTTTGCTAAAGTCTGTAAAAGTTATTTTGAAACCCATATAAATTTGCGCGTAAATTAAAAAATATTTAGATATTTTTCAAATAAAGACGATCAAGTTTAAATTTTGTGAATTTTGAACATTTATGTCATTAAAAAGCTCTTTATTTATAAAAAAAAACTTGTTTGAAATAAATTTACTAGCGTATTATACTTTTAACTGTTTGTAGAAATGTTACTTTGAATACTTTATTGGACATATTTTTAAATAAGTTATTTGAATAGCTGTAAGTTTTTAATAAGGTCATTTTTTTAAGGTACTTCCAATATAGTTGTTTTAAATATGACTATTGTAGCAACCAAAAAATTTCAAAACACGTATATGTCAAAACTGCGAACTTGCTTAGTGGTTATAATACTATTTTTTTTAAATTACCACTTCCTCTTTTAATTACCAATGCTAGTTTAGTACATATTTTTATTTACAAAATTTAAAAAACTAGAATAGTATCTTCTTCCTAAAATGTAGAAATAAATTTTAATTTGGTTAAGATAATGACCAAAATTTATAAAAGCATAATTTGTTTAAACTTTTTGTTTAGTTGATGGAAAAAAATACTCTTGAACAATTAGTGAAATTAAAAAAATAAAAATGTAAAAATCACTGAAAATATGTAAAAATCACTGAAAAAATGTAAAAATCACTGAAAATAGTTTTATAGGTTTTTCATACTTAATAGTTTTACAGAAGAGTAACGTAAAATAAATTTATCTTTTTCGCTTTTGGCTAATTTTCATAATCATTACAGAATTAAATGTTTATAAATCACAAGAGGTCAGGTTTTTATTTTTTAATTATTTATTAATAGTTTCATAATTTTATATAATAAAATATTTTTATTTTTAATTCCTTTAAAAATAAATGAAATATTTAGTATTAATAAACATTTAGGTATTTACTTTATTTTTATATTTATAATTATTATAACTATAGAATATAGGATATTAAAACTATTGTTTGTGTTGATGTGTTTTTAAAACATGTGGCTATGAAAAAACTAAACAAATAAATTTATGAAGATAAGATATGAATAGATCTGTTAAGAAAAATGTTTTAACTTTAGAATATTGTTTATATGTAATAATCAATTTAAATTAAATAAGTAATTAGATAATATTTAAATACTAAATAAAAGTTTAAAAAAATATTTAAATATCCTAGATATTCTAGGATATTTAAAACTGATTGCCCACATTTGGGAGGGCAATTTCTACTATTATAGCTATTTTTGTTCTAATTGGCGCAATTTTTCGAAAAAAAAATTGAAATAACATAAGTATAAACATACAAAGTTTTTTTCATTTTATGAGTTTCATTTCTAGTTTTGATTATTACTGTTATTGTATGAAGTTAGGGTAAAAATAAAATTAAAAAAATCTTTAAAGTAAAGGGACCAAAAGATAGTTTTAAACAGTGGGGGGCCATGCCTCCCACTGTTTTATTATCCATTGCGGTCAACACCAGGGGCCCCTAGCCCGGTGTTGACGACTGTGGATAATACCAAAAGAAAAGTTTAGAAATAAAAGTTTCTAATAAATAAAAAATTTACAAAACAATACAAAACAACTTTTTATCAGTATCTTTATAAATTTCATTTATCATATATTAACATTAAATATTGATAAAATCTAAATTATAGCTACCAGTGCCATGGATAGGGGGTCGGAGATCCCCTTTCCTATAAAACAAGTCATTAGGGTCTCAACATTTTAAAAACTTTAAATGTTAGGTATAAAGAAAAATAAAAAAAATTTAATTTGGTAAAATTAATCTTAAAATTAATCTTAAATTTAAAAAAAAGAACACCTAAATTTACTGCCCACTCCTCCCCCCCCCCCCCCATTTAGAGCGTAGCCGATGGGTTACAGCGAGTTATTTTATTGGATGGGCAGAACAACCAAAAAAATCAAAAAATACCAAATCTTCTACTAAAACCTACTTGGTTTATAAGAAAAGGACATTTAAAAAAATTTGGTGCCATAGGGGTCCCTAGGTCCACCATCGCCATGGCCCATGCCACAGTTCTGATAGCTGCAAACATAAAATATTTTTTAGTGTGAAGACTTGAGAAAATAAAATAACTAACTATAGTTAGATATTTTAGTAAAATTTAATAGTAAAATTTTTTAAGAATTTCTAGAATGTTTCCAATGACTTCATGTACTAAAACTCCTATGAATTAAACGCACTTGAATAAATTATCTAGTCTGTATAATGCGCCTGGAAAATTGCGTTTATTTTCAAGACTCAAAATACAGCAGAAAATGGAGAAGACAAGCTTCGACTAAAATAACAAGATTTGTTTTTCTTGGCATACATTTATTAATAAGTTTTAATCAAAAAAAATTTGCTCAGATGCTATTTATAACATTCTCTTTAAAATGAACACAACATGTCTCAGGACTTGGTGGTCCTTTTAAAAACTTTGGTATCAACTTTACAAGTTTTAAAAAATATAAATCTTATAACTGGTTGTCTCAATAATTTGTTTTTAGTACAAGCATTTTTGGCAGAATTATTGTAAACCAGGCGGATTGTATATATAAAATCAATTTTTAATTCTTTATGAAAAAAAATGAAGCATCTTTTCAGCCATCTTGTTTTATCTGTGCAATTTTTGTAAGAGATAAAAGATATCAGCATGAGAATTATCACCAAAAAAAATCCACTTTCAATAATACTCATGTTGGGTCATACCATGCCAAGTGAACTAAAGTCTAACAGGAACATCTTAGACTGAACACTTGATGAGCTAGTTTCTATAAATGGGAAAAGCAATTCCTGAAAATTTTAGCATAAATGCATTATTTGAAAAAGATATATTTCTTTAATTATTTATTTCTTAGAACTATTTTATACATAACATAATGGTCTTTTGTTTGTTTTATCACAATTTAGTTTTTTTTTTTCCCACAAAGAGATTCCCAAGTGCTGAGACAAGTTATGTTTATTTTGTAAATAAACATTAGAAAATAAGTTTTAAGTTTATTAAAACTACCAAAATAAGTTATTTATTGAGATATTAACCAAAAACATTTGTTGTTTTGCTATTATACTTCCAGTTGAGAGGTTAATGTTAACTTCATGAACCAGCATAGTTTTTTCAGTTGTAAAAATATCTTGTTTAAATATTAAATGCAGTTTTATGCTAATATCTCAATAAATAATTAGTTTTGGAAAGTTTAGTTAATAAAAAACTTATTTTTGTGAGGATTATTTAAGACATGAAAACAACTTGTCTTTTGGCAATTAGGAATTTAAGTCTTGGCAATTAGGAATTTAAGTATTTAATAAACTATATTTAATAAAGATTGCAACCGATTTATGGATATATTTTATCAGCTACCAACACAGGTCTTGTTAAGAAGCATTATGCTTTTTGCATTTTACGTACAAAATGGCGATTTTATTCACACATTAGCTCATTTACGTTTTGCAAAAGTTTTACCGATTGGAATATTTAAACCCTCTTTTGAAATAGTTTATGTGGAAAACATCAAGCATGAACTGTTGTAAAAAATATTTTCAATGCAATTTTTGAAAATATTTTTTACAACAAATTATTGAAAAATATTTTCAACAAATTTATGATAAGATGATATTTTTAGTTTTAAAATTGCTTTTTAACAAAAAAATGTATTATAATTAATTTTTTAGATTGATGATAGAATGAACGTCGATTATAAATGATTAACTAGTTTATGAGCAGAATGAAAAGATTGAGTTCAAGCCAAAAAATTTTTTAGATTTTTCATATAAGTTAAAATTAGTTGTTTTTTTTTAATTTTAGCATCAAGAAATTCCTCCATTAACAATTGCCTCCTTATTAAAAAAATGTTGCGCTTATGAATGTTTTAAGAAATAAATACGAAGCATAAGATTTTTAAATGGTTTATTATTATTATTTTTTTTATAGCATTAAGAAAATCTCCCATAAACAATTGCCCTCTTATTTAAAATAAAAAACTAAATTGTGAGAAAGCAAACAAAAGACAATGTTGTGTTTATGAATGCTTAAAGAAATAAACAGGAAGTATAAGTTTTTTTGAATAGTTTATTTTATAATTGCTTTTACAAATTTATGACAAAAATTCTTATAACCTTAACGATTTTACATAACATATAAGTTTGCAAATAAAAAATAAATAAATATATCTTTAGGAAGTATCGCAAAACTATTTTACATTCCTTAAATTTTTAATTTTTAGAATAATATTTTATTTTGAAAAGTTTTTAATTAAAAAAAAATTCTTTAGATATCTGTTTTTTGAATTAAAAAAATAAATTATATCAGAAATAAGGTTATCATGTTTTTTATAATAATTAATTTATTCTAAATATACAATATAAAAAAAAATTAAGCAATAGTTTTAAACAGATGAATTAATTGGATTCCACGATCCTTTATGCATATAGCATGAAGTTTTATAATATAACCTAAATTCTTTTCTTTTTTTTCTAAAAGATTTAAATCTAAATTTATTTTTAAAAGACTAGGTAAATAAATAAAAACATTTCAGTCTGTAAAATTAACAATTCTGGATAATTTTGACAAATGCAAAAAAAAATTATGGCATTTAATTTTCTTATAGTTATGTATCTCTATCAAAAATTTCAATTTCAAATTTCTTCAGTCTGTAAAATAGACAATTCTGTATGATCCCAACAGATTCAATAAAAACTGGCACACTATTTAAAATTTCAAGTCAAATATAATAACTGCTCAAATATATCAAATATATTTAAGGTCAATATGCCCAATTGGTTTGTGCATTCCTTTTTCTATAATTTAATGACCGGTCTGTAATTTATGCAATAATTTTACTGACAGGTCTGAAAATTATGCAATAGTTTTTAAATGATGTATTTTTTGGATACCATGATTCCTTTATGCATATTTGCATAGTGCAACCATAATTTTTTTCATCATAACACAGTTAAATAAGTAGAAACCCTTCAGTCTGTAAAATAAACAATTCTGGATAATCCCGACAGATTTAATAAAAACTGGACCACTATTTAAAATTTCAAGTCAAATGTAATAACGGTTCAAAAATTTTAAAAAAATTACAAAATATTTAAAGTTGATATGTTTAATTTGTTTGAACAGCCCATTTTCAGCAATTTACTGACCGAAAAGTAATTTATATGATTATTTCACTGACCGGTTTGAAAATTTTGCAATAGTTTTCAAATGTTATATTTTTTGGATTCCATGATTCTTTTATGCATATTCACATGGTATAACTATAATATCATCCCAAATTTTATTCTCCAAAACTAAGAAAATAATGTAAAACCCTTCAGCTGTAAAATAGATGATTCTGGACAATCGCGACAGATTTTTTAAAATAAAATTTTGGTTTTTTATTTTCTTATAGTTTTTTGATCACTATGAAAAATTCCAAGTCAAAAGTAATAACCATTCAAAAGTTATTCAAAAGTCAGTATGACCCAAAAGATATAGTAATTAGTTAAAAACTCTCAGTACGTAAAATAGGTGATCCTGGTAGATCCTGACAGATTTTTTTTTTTTAAAATTTGGTTTTTATTTTCTTATAGTTGTTAGATTGCTATAGAATATTTCAACTCAAATGTAATAACGATTCAAAAGTTATTAAAAAGTCAGTATGACCCTAAAAATGTATAAATTAGTAAAAATTCTGGTCTGTAAAATAGATTATTTCCGGTCAGTCCTAACAGATTTCTAAAAAAAAAAATTTGGAATTTTATTTTCTTATAGTTAATTGGTCACTATGAAAAATTTCAAGTCAAATGTATCATTGGTTTAAAAGTTATTCAAATGTCAATAATACTTTCATTTTCGGTGCCATTTCGCAGTAAATTTTCCATACTTAACAGTTGGGCTGAAAAGTTCGTATCGTTTCTAAGAAATGGCGCCACTAGAATTAAATTCATACCATTTTTAGTTAGTACCAACCTTGAAAAGATACGTGTAAAAATTTGACAGCTGTCAGATTATTAGTTTGTGATATATTGCTCTAGTAGTGACGCTACTTTTGTTATTGTGAAAAAAATGGAAAAAAAAAGAATTTCGTGTTTTTTTTTGTTTTTTTTTTAATTCACCTCCTCAAGGCCGAGAAGGCCACTACAGACGAGGAGGCTACTTATTTGTGGTTATAACCTTCTCTCAACTCTATAACTCGGAAACACGAACCTTGACGAGCAAGGCCGCTGCGCGGAGAAACGAGTTGAGCGCGGTACTACCAGGGACGTGGTGGGGATCGAACTCGGAACCACTCGTTTATGAAGCGAGCGCTCTACCACTACACCACTACCGCATTGTTGATGAAACATTACTTTTTAATGAAAAAAAGTGCTGCCGATACCAAAAAATGGCTTGATGAGTGTTATCCAGACTCTGCATCAGGCGAAGCAACAATTCGTAAGTGGTTTGCAAAATTCCGTACTGGTCATATGAGCACCGAAGACGATGAACGCAGTGGACACCCAAAAGAGGCTGTTACCGATGAAAATGTGAAAAAAATCCACAAAATAATTTTGAATGATCGTAAAGTGAAGTTGTTGGAGATAGCTGACACCTTAAAGATATCAAAGGAACGTGTTGGACATATTATTCATGAATATTTGGATATGAGAAAGCTCTGTGCAAAATGGGTGCCGTGTGAACTCACAATCGATCAAAAGCAACAACGAATTGATGATTCTGAGCAGTGTTTGGAGCTGTTACATCGAAATAGAACCGATTTTTTTTGTCGATACATAACAATGGATGAAACATGGCTCCATCACCACACTCCGGAGTCCAATCAACAGTCAGCTGAGTGGACTGCACGCGATGAACCGACTCCAAAGCGTGGAAAGACTCAACAATTGGCTGGGAAGGTTATGGCCTCTGTTTCTTGTGATGCGCATGGTATAATTTTCATCGATTACCTTGAGAAGGGAAAAACCATCAATTGTGACTATTACATTGCGTTATTGGAGCATTTGACGGATGAAATTGCAAAAAAACGACCTCATTTGAAGAATAAAAAAGTTCTGTTTCATCAAGACAACGCACCGTGTCACAAGTCAATGAATACGATGCTTAAATTGAACGAATTGGGCTTCCAATTGCTTCCTCATCCACCGTATTCTCCAGATTTAGCCCCCAGTGACTTTTTCTTGTTCTCAGATCTCAAGAGAATGCTCGCTGGTAAAAAATTTAAGAGGTGATCGCTGAAACTGAAGCCTATTTCGAAGCAAAGGACAAATCGTACTACAAAAATGGTATCGAAAAGTTGGAAGATCGCTATAATCGCTGTATGTTGAATAATAAAACCGAATTTTGAAAAAAAAATGTGTTTTTCTATTAAACGATACGAACTTTTCAGCCCAACTGTTAAGCCCTATAGCTTTTGTCAATAAAATAAAAAATAAAGATCAATAACTTTTGATCCGCTTAACTTCAAAGACCAAATAACCCCTCATTTTTTCAGTCAAACCAAGCTCTATACAATGACATCAATTATATTTGAATATTTTAATTATAAAAAAATCTGGAATGGCTAGTATGGGATAACTTTGTTGTGTAAAACTTTTCTTTTAACAACTTGTCAAAAGGGGATGCCTAAAATGCACAACCGCCATTAAATGTACATGAGGGTTAAGGAAACTAGAAAGTAATGTTTATAATTTATATTAGTATTTATTTATTTATGTTTTTTGGAAAATTAAAAAAAGGGAAATTAGGAGGGAAATATTAATAGCGTCATAATGGGCATTCAAAAGTAAATATTACAGACTCAATATTTGGTTTACATAATTTTTTGACATCACTTTGTTTGAATAAAAAAACTGCTTGACTTAAAATGAGTTGTTGTTTACAGATTTATAAGATAATAATTTCAATGATTGTAGTTGGTCTAAATTTTCTAACAGTTCCAAGTTAAAACATTACTAAATTACTAAACAGCAATATTAAATTTATTACTATAACAATATGTAAATCTACCTAAATTATACTTACTACGCATTTAATGTCATTAACTTAAACAGAGAAGATATAAAAATAATTGGTATGGTTAAATCAGTGCCGGTTCCACATGGTTCCATCACCATTTTAAATGTTATTGTTTCGTGTAAAATGTACTGATAATAAACATACGTGTCGCATATAAGGGCTTGACAATTTATTTACTTGTTTACATAGACAATAAAAAAAATATAGTTTCATAATTTATTACTTTTTACAAATAAAAAATTTTAATTCTAATTTTTCATTATTAAAATGGTTATGATAAAAAATTATCTATATTTGATATATAATTTGTCAACATTTATAAAACCCCCGTATATAAACATAATTTGCACATCTTGAAGTAAATCTAATGACGTTTCGCAGATAATATTTCCCACAATACAATTCTAGACTTGAAAGAATTATTTTAAACGAATTGACTTTTCTTTAATGTTTTGATTTGAAGTAGTGTTATTAGGTACCACTTTTGCACTACCAACTTGCCTGGCTTTGACCGAATAGGACTGATTATTGGATAAAGGACAAAATAAATATGGGATGTAAGATTTTTGTTGTTGCTACTGTCTTCGTTATAGATAACTTAATTAAACCTAGTCTTGCCATTTGGAACAAAAATTTAATAGTAACTTGATAATAGCGGTTACTTCACGCGCTAATATTGTGGCCTGTGAAATAAGTATTTGTAATATAAATTTCATCGTTAAACGCTCTTTTAAACGTTTTTATTTATTTTTTACAGTCAAATTTCTGGAACTGCTTAAACCGTTCATATCGGTATTGCCTGAAGTCTCGAAACCAGAACGAAAGGTTTGTTATTTATTTACGGTTGTTTAAGCATAAACCTAAGCTTAATTGATCCTGTAGAAGGAAAAATGTTTTGGTTTTCCATCATTTATATCTCATCATAAAAAAGTTATATGGCTATTATTTAAAATAGATTTATTTTGAAATTAAAATCTTAATTATTTTTTAGATTCAATTTAGAGAAAAAGTTCTATGGACAGCAATTACGTTATTTATCTTTTTGGTTTGTTGTCAGGTACTTTGCATAAAAATATAAAATGTACTTACTTTTTACATTACAAGTTCTTAATTTCATGATAGGAGCTCTTTTAAGCATTTGTATTTTTATGTAGATTCCATTATTTGGTATTATGTCATCAGACTCAGCTGATCCATTTTACTGGCTTCGTGTAATTATGGCTTCAAATAGAGGTACTCTTATGGAGTTAGGTATATCTCCAATAGTCACCTCTGGTCTTATTATGCAACTTCTTGCTGGTGCAAAGATACTTGAAGTAGGTGACACTCCACGTGATAGAGCTTTGTTTAATGGTGCCCAGAAACTATTTGGGATGGTCATTACAATAGGGCAATCTATTGTTTATGTCATGACTGGAATGTATGGTGATCCAAGTGATTTAGGTGCTGGTGTTTGTCTTTTGATCATTATTCAACTTTTCTGTGCTGGCCTTATTGTTCTATTACTTGATGAGTTGTTGCAAAAAGGTTATGGACTTGGTTCTGGAATTTCTTTGTTTATTGCAACAAATATTTGCGAAACAATTGTTTGGAAAGCCTTCAGTCCTGCAACCGTTAACACAGGAAGAGGTAAAATAATATTATTTAGCTTAGTAGTAGATTTAAATATATTTTCATACTTTTTAATCTGTTTAGTTGTTAACAGTTATCTATTTAAACCTTTAAATGAAAAAATTTTTATCTGTGTAAACATGATTTGTAAACTTTATACTGCTAAACCCTAAATACAAAATTATGAAAGTACTAATATATGTTATCAATCATTAGTTCACTGTAACATTGAGTTGCTTTAACTCAATGTCATATTTAAATAAGACTATTGTAGAGTCCATTTAAATAAGACTATTGTAGAGTCCACACAAGTCTAGGTTGGATGTCTTAACCACACAAGTATAGGATGGATGATATATGTTTTAATAAATAAGATTTATCTACATTTTAATGGGTTAGATAATATATATTCAATAAAAAAAAAATTATTCAATATATAATTGGTATAATACTGAAATAGCCATCTGTTAGGCATGCTATATCTACATTTAAGGAACATAATATACCAAATTTTTGCATTTTGTTCTTGATCTGCAGAAGTGTATTGTGTGCTTGTTGTTAGTGTTGCCATGTTTTTTTTTTTATTAAAGCTATAATTAAGGTTGTTTTATTTTTTGTTATTTTTGATTATAATTTTAATTTTAGGAACTGAGTTTGAAGGAGCTGTTATTGCTTTGTTTCATCTTCTTGCTACGCGCACAGACAAAGTTCGAGGTCTGCGTGAAGCTTTTTATAGACAAAATTTACCAAATTTAATGAATTTATTAGCAACAGTCTTTGTTTTTGCAATTGTTATATACTTTCAAGTAAGATACGTTTTTAGTAGTATTTGCAATAACTGGTATATTATACACATGTATATATTATTTATATTCATTGTCCTAAATTTTTATTTAGGGATTTAGAGTTGATCTACCAATTAAATCCGCTCGATACAGAGGTCAATACAGCTCTTATCCCATTAAACTTTTTTATACTTCAAATATCCCAATCATTTTGCAAGTAAGATTTTTATATTATATACAGATTTTTTTTTGGCATAAAACATTTTTAAAACAGTTTTAATTTTCTTTTTAGAGTGCATTGGTATCAAATGTATACATAATTTCTCAAATGTTATCTGCAAAGTTTTCTGGAAACTTCTTTGTTAATCTTCTTGGAATATGGAATGAAGCTGGAGGTCCAAATAGATCATATCCTATTGGTGGTTTATGCTATTACTTATCACCTCCTGAATCACTTAGCCAGATAACTGCTGATCCTGTACATGCATTGTTATATATAGTGTTTATGTTAGGTTCTTGTGCATTTTTTTCAAAGACTTGGATTGATGTCTCTGGATCATCTGCTAAAGATGTTGCTAAGCAACTCAAGGAGCAGCAAATGGTTATGAGAGGTCATCGCGAAAAATCGATGATTCACGAACTTAATAGGTATTGCCATTTTGTTTTGGCTTTCTATTTTTGAATTGATTTTTGTTTTTTTCAAACTTTTTATTATTTGTTCTCATTTAGATATATACCAACTGCTGCTGCTTTTGGAGGTCTTTGTATAGGAGCTCTATCAGTTTTAGCTGATTTTATGGGTGCCATTGGATCAGGCACAGGAATTTTGCTTGCTGTAACAATTATATATCAATATTTTGAAATATTTGTTAAAGAACAAAGTGAACAAGGCGGTGTGGGAACTTTGCTTTTCTAATTTAATGAACGCTTTAGTGTTTTGTAGATATTCAAAATACATCTCCAAATCAACATTTTATTTCTTTCTGACCTAACCTTTAGTATTTTCATAAGTTTCTAACATTTTAAACTTTAAATGAGTAGCATCAAACTTTTTAAACTTTGTAAGATTAATACTTATTTTAGGAATTTTTTATATAGTTTAAATTAATATTTTTAACTTTTACAAAGTTAATATTTAGGAACTTATATTTTTTCTGGAAGAGGGAAAGTGCCTTAAAAAAAGGCTAAATATTATATAATACAGAATTTAAATTATTTCTTCAGTAAATAAAGAATATTGTTTTTGTTTTGTTTGTTTTTAATATTTGAAAGTCTGTTTGAATTATTCGAGTTATGATTTGTTAGGTAGATCATCACATTTGTAAAAGTTATGTCCTTTACTCGGAATTTTGTGTGAAATTTCTTAAGTTAAATTTGTATGAAATTGCCCATTTCGTTAAAATGTAATTTAGAAATTACAATTTACACATTTAATAAGGTGTTAAAAGCTGCTTGTCGGCGCTATATTTTAAAAATCGTTACATTCGAGCGCACCAAACTACTCTTTAAAAGTATGTCAGTAGGCTTATAAGTAATGGAACTGTTAAGTGTATTTCTTCTTGCCCAAATTTCAAGTTCAAACTTCATTTTGTATAGCGCAGAGTTAGTAATTCCTCCCCCGAAGTAAAATTTTGCAGAATAACTAGTTTTTTTTTGATAGGAGGAAGCCGACGTCAGAAAAAAACTTTAAAGGCCGTCTCTAATGGGTTCTGCCTTCCTTACATTTCCTCCAATTAAAGGAGCGCGGCACATTGTTTCGCAAAGCAAAAGTAGGATTTTTCTTACTTTACTAAAGAAAAAATCGGTTTTAATTTTTTTTAACCGAGAAAAGTTAAAAAATATTTCAAACTTTTTTAAATTTGCCGTAAGAGCGACTTTCTGTAAGAATCAGACAGAGCTCGGTAGTGACCCTCTTCAAAATTGCTATTGTTTTAATATGTTGGTAAAATTCATATTAGAAGCTCAATTCCAAATTTTTTTCTAAAGATATTAATTGGCTCTCTAGATATTTGATGTCAAAGTTTGACTAAATATTTTGAAATTGACCAAATGGTGTTGAAGGCATGTTTAAACTTGAAAAAAAAAATAAAGTAAGTACTTTACAATGAGTACTTCACTTGATTGTTGTTTATTGTATGAGCTTTATTTATATTTATCTATGACAAGATTGTCTGAATTCCAATTGGGCAACATTGTAGCAACAATCACTGATGGTGCGAGTGTTATGATGAAATTCGGAAAAAAGACCAGTCCCATTCATGTTGGCTGTCATGCACATGTAGTCTATCTTTCTGTTTGCGATATACTTTAGAAGCTTTATAAGATAAACGATGATTTAATTTATGATGAAACTGAAGAGGAAGAGAATTAAGAAAAAACAATAGAGGCCTGTAATGAATTAGGCACTGAGACAAACTTAGTTTCTGATATTGGTGCTATTGTTGCTAAAATTCGTAAAATTGTTAAAGTCTTCAGGAAGTCCCCATTCAGAAATGATGACAATCTTCAACCTTAAAATATTCAGTCCTTTGGATAGCTTTATTTTTAGATTGTAAAACGCGATGGAATAGAATTGTTAAAATGCTACGAAGATTTTGTGAAGTTCGCAAAGAAGTAAAAGTAGAAATTTTGCTTTTTTATTTCTATTTTAAATTTAAAAAAGAAAAATTTAGTTTAAAGATAAAAGTTAAAAAACTTTTTCATTTTAGCCCTTCCGAAACTTGTCTTTTTTTAAATTGAAATTGACTAAATTTACACCCCATAAGTTATTTAATGGCTGCTTAACATCTAATTGAAAAAAATTATTCGGGTAATACGCAGGTATTACGCGGGTAAATTTAAAATTACCAATTTCTCGGGTAAATATTTTTGGCCGGGTAATGGAAACACTGATTACCGCTAACCGAAGGAATAAATGTTTTAGAGAAAGCTAAAATTACACCTTCTATTACCGTATCGTCGGCTAGTGTCATTAATGGAAGTATGACATCTAAAAGATCAACCAAACAAATACATTCAATGAATGTAGTTGTTGCCGAAGCAAAAGAAAGAGAAAAATGTGAATGTAATGTTATAGTGTTTAGTATCAAAGCGTAAAAAGCTTCAGACTTAACAAGCTTCAGAGAGTAAGATACAAAATCCATTACTGTTGAGTGTCCATTTACTAAATATAATTACTTCTGAGTGTCCATTTAATACAAGTGACAATAACTCTGTCCTCTTTTATATTAACGCTTTAATTTATATACAATCGAAAAAAATATATATACATCTTTTCAAGGTTTTAAAAATATAATAGGTTTTATCTCTAACTTATCAAACATAAGTTGAAACTATGAGTATTATTTTATTTGTACAACTCAGGAGTATTGGAACATTTTTTCAGATCACCTTCGTATTGGCATTGATTGTTTTGTTCTAATCAGAACAGTATATCATAACAAAATATTCGTTTTTATCCAAAGTATATATCCTCTGAAAACTAACAACAACTTAATTACTAGCAATGTTGTTATTACTTAGGTATTTAACAAACACTTCTGAAGTATTTTTATGGTAGATAACGATTGTTTTCCAAAAACAAAAAACTTCGTTAGTTGTAGAATTTTCAGCAGAGATACTTTATCAAAAACTAATAAACGTAAAACCTAGCTCATTGTTCGGTCCTGGTGGTATGTCAAATATACTTTTAAAGAAATTCACTCATATTTCAATCAAGTTTTAAATCAAGCTTCCGACCTAAACAAAGGCTTCGAGTTTTGGTTTCCTCTATCTTTTAAAAAAGGATCTATCTCAGATGATAATAATATTGGACCTATTTCTCTTGCATGTACCTGCTATCGTATAATGGAAAGCATTTTAAGTTTAAAAAATACTGACTATCAAAATAGTAGCTAATAACTCCTAACCAACACGGTTTTTTAATCAAAAGATCAACCAGTACAAGTCTTCTTGAGTCAACAAATGGTTGGAATAAAGCTCTAGATAACCATTTAATTACCGACTAGTGTACGTTGATTTCTAAAAAGTATTTGACTCTGTACCTCACCCAAAACGTATAAAAAACTAGTAATGTATGATAAGGAGAAGAAATAACCTCCTTAATTGATAAATCTCAGCATTGCTTTCCAATAGATACCAAGAAGTTTTTGTTGGAAATTCATTGTCAAAATTCTCTAGCATTATTAGTAGAGTTCCTTAGGGTAGCGTTTTTGTTCCAACGTTATTCTTATTATATGTTAACGATTTACCTTTTATAATCAAAAACCTTAATTTAGTTCTCTTATACTAACGTCAGGGTTCGGGTTAGGGTTACGATGTCTACACAACTCATTAAGGGATACGGATCATAGCCACGACTTAATTGTTGCCATCAATAAAGTATTTCTCTTGTCAAAAAACTGATTTTTAAAAATTACCAGCATTAAAGTTTTACACTTAGAATAACACCTGCTTTATTTTGTAAACATATAAATTTCAATTATGAATTAGAAGTTCATAATTTAACTTGGTCTAATAAACCCAAAAGACCTTGGTGTGACTATGGACTCTTTTCTCAATTACAAAAATCATGTTTTAAATGTTGTCCATGCAGCAAACATCCGAGCATATTTAATGTTTAAGTATTTTGAAAAATCGTAATCCAGGTGTCAGGGTTAGGATTAGGGTAAGGGGTTAGGGCTTTTTTAGGCTCCCTAAGCCTAATTCATCTTAATTTAGTCTAATTTCTTAAGTATAATTTTTTTAGGCTCCCTAAGCTTTAATTTAGGCTTCCTAACCCTAACCGTAACCCTAACCCTGACCTATTTTAAAATATTGCTCTCTGGTTTGGTCGCCACATTGCACTGAATTAATAAAACCAGTTAAAAAAGTCCAAAAACGTTTTACTAGCCAACTTAAGTAAACTATGTTGGCTAGTTTCTTAGTAAACGTAAGACTTTCAATACTTGATTTGGAACTACTTGAAATTCGTTGTCTAATGAAAACTTCATTTCATAGTACAAAGTTCTGAACAACTTCATGTACCGAATTTCTTTTTAGTTAACAATTACATTTATACTCGAGGTTATAAACTTAAGTTACGCAAATGATATTACCCAAAAGAAATTTTAACAACTCTCAGAGTTTTCATAATTTGGAATAACTTGGAATAACTTGAATTAACACCATCAATTTTAAAAGATACTGCAAATACCGACTAACTGCATCTCATGTAACATTTTTTTTGTCATACTGGATTTCTTAATTTTTTAACCTTTTATAGTATATTTATTTTATTGCTGTGGGGCACGCTGGCAGAGTCCTATTTATTTTTAGACGTAATTTAGAACATGCATAGCTATTCTAATAAATTTAAATCAATTAATTAATGTCAGGAGTAAGCCATTATTTTAAATATCTTGAAAATTAAAGTTAGACATGTTATAAACTAATCGAGAGAAAATCAGTCAAATCAAATTAGAACAAAAACTTGTTATAAACCTAATAAAAAATGCAGATAAAAATATCATTAAAGTTTTTTTTTTGAAAACCATTTTTTAAGATAATAAAACTAAAAAAATTATAATTATTTTGTTATTATTATTAATTACAAATAATTATTTTGACCACAGTAAAATTCAGTTTGTTTTGGGGAGTTTTAAACACGCAACAAAAAGCATGTGTAACTTTTTATCATAAGCACATCATAAATCCATTTTAAAAATTTCTACTGCCAAAACAAGTGTGCCAGCTTTTGAAGAAATTTGTATAATGTGAAAGGCAAATAAAGAAAAAATTAGTTCACTAAGTATAACATAACTTAGTAATTATGTAATAATGATAAAGTCTATCATTATTTTAAACATATCTGAATGGAAAAAAGAAAAATTTTAATTTATTTTGTTACTATATAAACATTTTAGTATGATACATTTACAAAAATATAAGTATATTTATATGTAAACATTTAAAAATAATAAGATAAAATT